GTTTTCAACGAATTTTGTTTTTCTAGTCGAAAGAATCGCCTTGTACCTGCGTTTACAAAATATTAGTATATATTATTAAAAATCGAACCAATATAGTACCAATACATATAACAATCACATACTTCTACGCTCTATTATCACAACAATGGGCCGGTAAATGTTCATTTTATTTCATCATATTTCTCTCTCTATCTCACCGTCTCCGGCTTTATGTATATATACATACATCCGAACACTTTCCGATCGAATGGATCAGGATTTCCCAAACAACCCGCAGAGATCTGCAGGGCATACACACACCCACATGTATGGGTGTATACACGTGTAAAAAATCGCTTACCCGCCGTTTTTTCGTGGCCGTCTGTCGGTAAAGTCATTATTTACTTCCGGCCATTTCGACAATAATTCGCCGACTCTTTGAACTAGAAAGTTGGTTTTGTTACATGGATGAGCCCACGTAACGGTCTAACCGAAATATCGAACAAAATACACACACACACACACACACACACACACACACTCATATATATATATATTATGATTATATATATAAATATAATTTATATATATGTATAGGTATGTGTGTCTCGTATAATATATCGCGTTGTATAGCCATTGAATGGGATACCGTATTACCTATTGGGGGAAAAAAAATAAATAAACCGCTCTGGAAATAAGACTCTTTTTAAATCTAATTGTGTGTCGGAGAAACTTGGGAGTGAATATCAGCTCCCCCGGCCCGAACATTGCGAGCGAGGGTATAAACACAACGGCTCGTGTCCACTTTTAACGTTTTCGCGTGCAATATTTTTTTTTTTTTTTGCAATAATACATCAATCCGCAGGTGAACCGAATATCCTGCAGTGTACCATCAATGATAGTATGTGCATCCCTCAAACGAATACGTCTTTCATTCTATCATTTCCCTTCGCCGCACCGTGCCCCAGTCAGTATTGTTGTTTGCACGACAATCGATATGGTTCCACCACTTGTACTTCAACCACATAGTCTTTATATACTTTCTGGGAACTGCTAGTTTTTTACGGACCTGTCATTGCGGACCAATTCGGTACGGTCCGCCATGTATGTGTATGTAATCTCGTATGTTATCTATTAAGGTACATGTGGGTATATACTATATTACAATAATAACGTATTATCGTATACTGTTGTTCTCGTTTACGAAGAACACTCTAAGTCCATAAATTGTTTTTTCGCGGGATTCATAATATCGAATACAAATAAAATACAGGATAAAAATAATAACATGCTATATAGTCGATTAAGTTAAATTGAATTCTAAGCAAATAATAATAAGTACATCCGGGTTCAACCAGAAAACATATTTTTAAACTTTGTATAATTTAAATGTACGTACAGTTACGCCAGTGTCGTAGCCAGGATTTTAATTGTTGAAGAGGGGGACTGATAATGTGGTTTAACTATAGGGTTTCTCATAAATTTACGATACCTTTTTTTTAGATTTTGGTTCCTTTACAGTTACACAAATGTATATTTGCAGTAACTTTCATTGTTCACAGAAATTTTTTTTTAATTTTCTTAAATTTCAGAAGGAGGAGGGCACACCCCGCATTCTTCTTAACTGCGAAACAAACCTACTTTATTTTGCTTTTTTATTCTTCGACTACCGTGATTAAATACTTTTCGGAAACAGTTTTTAAGATCGTAAAATTTGTTGGGACACCGAGTGTAACTATAGAGTGGTTGCAGAATATTTTTACAGTTTTTTAAAAATCTACATAAAAAAACCTTCCATGATCTTTGTTCATTTTATGCCATTTAGTATTGTATTGGTCTTGTATATATTTTGCATTGGTTATATTATGATAAACTCGAATTAATGTGGTAACACGCATAAACAAAGTTGGTTTTTTTGTTACTATTATTCGTACGAAATAATACAATAAAATAAATATAATAATAATATAATATTGCGTAATCGTAAGGGACAGACGACTACGGACTACATCTCAGAAAATTAGCGTAATCGGTACAGTGGAATTTGACAAAAAGCTATGAGTTTTATTATTATTAGGTATACGCAATAGAGTTATTATTTTAATTATGTATTGGGGTAACTGTCCATGACTATCCACCACCGTTGCAAAAAAAAGTGCTTATTATTAATAATATTTTTGGTTTTTCCCAAATTTTTTTAGTGTATGGTAGTGTTGTACCCCTGTAACATATTATGTAACACGGCGCAGTGAATAGGCTATCTGGGAACACCAGTTTTGTCTGGTCGTTTTGTGCTTTATATAATATAGTTGGCTAAAATTAAACTTCAAAGTATAATAATTAAAGTGGAGCGTGTAAGTGTTTGAGTAATAAGGTGGAATTATTATAATACTATGTATATCGTATGTGTACAATATTATATTTATAATGGACTGAACTCAATTTTAGATGTTTTCATTTTTAATTTCAATCCGATGACAATAATTAGGTTAATATTATGTTTGAACTCTGTTACTCTGAGTCTTATAGGTATCTATCGGTGTGAAAAGAACATTTATGAAATTTGGTTTTTAACGAAAAAAATTATAATTGCAATTTATAAATACTAAACATTTTTTTTTTTATTAATAAAAATTTTTTTGAGCTTTTAACACCTAATAATATTATAATTTATTTTATAGTATTGCAGTTCGCCGCGCACGGAGTCGATTGGAAATTATTTGATCATAGTCTTATAATAACATTATAGACTGCTATTATTATTTTCGGGAAAAAAACAATCACCGATAGATAATATTGTCACAAATTATTTTTAAAAAATTCGATTATGTGAACTCTTGTGCGAATGCTAAAATACGCACAGATACTTCTGAACCCGAAACATTAACTAAATCGAGCTGTCACAAAGCGTTTCCGTATTTCATCGGTTGTCATCGCACATCGCACATCGATCATTTTTATTTTTGGCAGAGAGAGTTGCAATTTATCCACCTGTTATGTAGGAGTATATTTTATTTTTACCTTATACCACTACGTTATTATAATATGTACTTGCAATGTACACGAGGTTTGTCCTATTCGACGAGATAATATCTATTTTTGTGTAAGTCACTCGCGCTATGTTCTATCGTAATAACGAAAAAAGGTCGAAAAACATTGTTCATCCATCTGATGGTATTACTCTATGGGTCGAGGAGCTTCTCAGACACATTTTTCGATTGGTACTCCAAATCTCTTCTGACGAAAAAGTATCGATAATAACACGTTTTGAAATGAAAAAAAAACTACCACTTAGAAAAATGAGTTTAAAAACAGCTGTCTGACCATAGTATTTTATAACATTCTTAAGCCACCCAACGTCTTCTATTGTTCAACTCCGTTCATAATTTTTAATAACGCTTTTTCATTAGTAATTGTTATAATGTCACATCATGTCTCAAATTTGGCGAAAAGACTTGGTTTGTGAGCTTGATTCGGTTCTCACCATTCGATCGGTTGTCGTCTCCCATTTCACGCTAACAACCGACCGTTTCCGTTAAATGTTTAATGTCGGGTTGAATAAACAATCGTCGCCAACCATATTTGATGAACTAATAGTGAGCTAATGGTCGATTAAACAATGGTCTAGTGGATCATATTATAATTGGTCCGTAACATTTTAGTGAACCATTTAATTATTCATTTTTTTTTCATGCAACTCGATATACGCACGTTCGAAATAAATACTATTGTAGTATAATATGGTATAAACGAAATGTATAATGTAGTAGCTTACGAAATTATGTCTCGCTAATTGAAAATAGGACTTCGGTCAAAACGCACACAGATGAATTATATAACGCGAGCGTAAAATCAGCCCTGAGTCTATGTATATTATGCTCACATATATAGGTATATATTTATTTAGAGCAGGGATGATCACGGGAGAGCGGAGTTAAGGCTCAGTTTCGGTTAAACGTTCTAATGGACAAGACGTGTTTGAGGGATTTTACCGACGGCTTTTGTCTCGGAATTCCATGCACGTGCTGGTGTGTGTATGTGTGTGTGTGTGTGTGAACTGTCAATTAAATCCCTAAAATCGTTAATTCCACAGACGTCGACAGTGTATAAATTGGTCGCGAATCGTATTTTGTCACCACAACCCGTCGTTCCGTATCATAGGGTGTAGTGTTCTACTAGATAACTGGTGAGAAAGATGTCATGGTACATCACTATCATGAGATATTTTGTAGGTCAGTGACAATGTACACATATATATTTTTTTAAATTCCTAATGCACTCCCTCCAAGTCACAAGTGAGTTATTTGTCAAAACTTAAAATTTATTTTCTTGATTACTTATATTATGTTCATGTTCATGTACGACGTTAAGTACGGTTGATTGTTTTTAAATCCAACTAAAGACCTAACCTAAACCTAAGAAACGAAAATAGATTTATTATGATCATAGTATCATACTATTATTTTTGAATGTGTTTTATAATATTGATGTTCGAATATTAAATTCACTGTGCTTACCTTAATTGCCTATAATATGTAAATTTCAGTATTTTTTTCAAGATTTGTAAATCAGAACATAAATCTTTTGTATAACTTTATATCTATGAATTATTTTATATTATTTTTAACCACATCATACCGTTATTTATAGGTAGGGTTTCTCGACGATTGTCCGACTAATCAGGTAAATCTCAAATGATTTGGTATCAAAAGAATGACGCCTTGAGAGCCCTACCCTTTCATCACCCTAGAAGAAAGTGTCAACAGTGTGATAATTTTTTTTAAAACTCAAAATTAGTTGTGCCAATCGATTTTTGCTGATGTTCAGGTATAAATGTATAATATAGGTTCACACGAGTAGTTATAATTATGTAAGCCAACAAGTATTTCATCCACAATGAATCTTTTTAAATCGAAATAGTAACAATATGATGATAGTACTAGTTTACAGAAGCCTCGCCAACGATGGTCACCTTTTTTCGGCGTCCAATGTGTATTACATTATTATTTGTTTTTTAATAGGTCCCCTTCAGAAGCACGAGTGCCGTCGATGGGAGACCGGCAGAGCACTTTTGCGCAGGACGTGTAATATAATGCGTGTATGTGGCACATGTTGGAGATGCACGTGGACGGCTAAGCGTGATGACTCATGACAGGTCCGCCATAGCGGACGAGCACGTTAATAAACATTCCATAAACGTTAACTCGCGCTGGTAAGTGAGGCAGAGAGACTGAAAGTTCGAGAGAGAGGGTTCGGGTAGAGATATAGAGAAGGACTTGGCGAGAGGTGGAGATGGGGCTCCCTTCAGACACCTATTTTGTGGCGGTTACCGCCAATACCACGCGCGGTCCCAGAATTCGGTCCATCAATCATGCGCGCGCCGCAGTAACTTTCCGATTACAAGAGATTTACGAGCAATTACACGCACCGCCTCCACCCCTCACCCCCACCACAGGTATGTTGTATCACTCCTCCACTCTCGTCTTTAAGCGCTACCCCCTAACCATTCTGAAAATACTACTCCCTCCGACTCGTCTCTTCGGCCCTCTTGCCCCGTCTTCGTTTGAAACTGTTGGCACGCACAACGCGTAACGATGATAAATGACAACTCGCGGGAGGCGCGCCGGGGTGTAGGGATCGGTTGAAGGCGTCGTCGGTGGTGGTTTCGCGTGGTCGTCTACCTCACATTATCGTATAATAATAATATATTCAATATTATAGTACACGTTTAGTGAGTTTTTCCCCATACTTCAACCCCCCATCCCTTCCATCACAAAGTTGCTTTCAAGAGACCCTATGTTTTTCCTCAGACTCGTCTTTCAGCAGGGATTTGTTGTCTAGTTGGATTTGTGCACTTCATATATGTATTTAGACACTCAGCCTCGAGGAAAGTTTATTTTTGTTTTTATTATCATTACTATAATTTAGGTTGCACGCTCACCGTTCCCAGTAAAGGTCCAATAACTGTGTTTACGACGGTTACAGACGATTTCCGTTACTTCGTCGTAATAATATAACGAAAGTTACTCTGTATAATAAACCCGCGGTTGGTAGTATTTTACGAGACGCACAAAGTAACAAATTCATCTTCGTTATAGTAAAAACTTGCTTGCCTATAAAGTAGACAGCATTATGAATGATGTGCGGTTTCTGTCCCACTCGACGACGGTTCGAGAAGAACAGAATAATAATATAGTGCTGATAATGGTTTTCATTTTTATTGCACGTTTCCGGTAACAATGTGACTAATTATTTGAATTGTCCAATTTTATTCTTCTCTCATCCTCTCACTGACCGCCGAGATCCATCCTGAGGTTCGATCGACTTTCCACCATATTTATTAAATGCACAAAAAACGGTTTTGCCAACCTAGCCAATAAAAAATGTATTGGTTTTACCCATGCGATACCTTTTGTTTCATTTATATATTCTAATATAATACCAACTGGCATCACAATTTATGTAAAAGGTAGATAAAACAAATTAAAGTAATATATATATTTATTAAACATTATCACTTCTATAGATAGTAAATTACATCTGCTGCTTGTAATTTTTGTTTCATCTCTCATTATTATTTACAGTCGATAGTTGTTAATTCAAAAAAAATGTCGGTATTACTGTAAAGTAACGTATTATAGCATGCAAACTCGGCTGTTTTTTTTTCAAAAAACGTGAAAGAAATAAATAAATATGTGTTTCATATGGAGTATATGTTTGTCGTGCTCACAACCTCAAATATTGAATTTATTAAAAACCTTAAGTTTAGGTCGAATATCAAAGAGCGTACATTCGTAATCCACATGGGAAATCAGAATATTGTGGCATTTTCTTGATTTTCTTTTACTATTATTATAGTCAAAGAGTGTCCCGTTTAAAATACCCAGACTGACTTCCCCGCGACTGAGACGTTTAACGGTTTGAGCACATCTCGTATTGGCGTTGATATTATACTTATACACGTATTAAAACACTGATGTAATAATATTACAATTACTCAACGTTTTATCTCAAATAATAACGAATGGTAAGAAGTTTTTAAGTGGTGTATCGTAATATAATATCATTATTATTGCTGCCGTGGAAGTTTTATCGAAATCAAACGCAATGTGCGGGTAAACAAAAGTTGTACAGTATATTATAGTAATAGAAAATTAATCCACAAAAAGAAAGATTATCCGATTTGTCCTAGATTGCATTGTTGTAGATTAAAGTCATCGCTGTGAAACTTCCGACGGTTTGCGCTTATCGAATATGTATATGGGTGAATTAATGTCAAATGCAAAATAATCCTGCGAAAGAGACTCGAGCGTTTATAGTGTAGTACCTGCCTGACTAAGTCCGTGTGCACTGTGCAGTACGACAATGTTAAAATACGATAGGTCAAGTGTGTGTAGTGGGCTTCGTTTTTTTTTTAAATTTTGTTTGTTATTCGTCAGTAGGTACATCAAATTTATTTGATAGTTTAGAGAAAAAATTCCGAAATATAAAAATACTTATTTACAATATATTATTTCGAAATTAAAAATTACTCTTTTGAGATGCCAACCATAAAAGCTGCAACGCATTAATATGGCCATTGATTAAATATATTAAATCATGTATATTTAATCAATGATATGGCTTAACTATATAAAATATTAAGTACCAAAAATATTAAATGTATATTATTTTGACCTCTGGTGTATGGTAATAATTGTCGGCTTTGTCACAACGATGTGATTTTAAACACGTAATAGGTACGACGCACACTCATCAATACGAACACTTCAATGGCACTCCTGCAACTCTTCAATAAATCATATTATACTTTTCGAATTCAAAAAATGTTCTATTTGAACAGCACGTAAACGTGTAAACAAATAATGTATATTATATGGCGTTCATAAACGCGTTGCTGTGTACTTTATATCGAATGAAAAATCCTTCCAAGAAATCCGCCTTTATCTAAACTGTGGAAAAACGAAAAAAATATTATGGTTTTGTAGTTTCGGGCAACCGGAGTCTTAAAGGGGCACAAGCTATTGAATGTCTAACGTTGACATGAGATCGATCGTTTTCCTCTCTTTTAATTTTAAATATCAATCTATGTGACAGTGGACATTAATTATTATAATGATCGCCTGCAGATTTCCCTTCCGGTTTCAAAATTATTTAACGAGACCACAAAGTCTTCTTAATCTCCCGTAATATTTTTGAACGTATAATATTATTATATCATCAGAATAATTAATTATGATTCTAAGTGCAAGCAAAATATATTGTGACATGCGAATTAAGATAGGTAATATTTACCTATAAATTTGTATTTTAATAAGCTTGGGAATAGTCCAGCAAAATTTCCCAAAATCGAATTCTCGGGAATTCACGCATCACAAATATTCATATTCTCATACTAGTGGAAAAATAAAGTTATAAAAAAATCACACTGCTATACAAACAACTTATTTATAGCCTTTGAAGTTCAGACAATTTCAAAAAGCACTTCTTCCAATTGTATGGCATTGATCGCCGAACCTTCAGTTGAGAAGTTTAAACCTACGCGTTATGTCTGCTAAGATTTTTATTATTTTTCGTGGATCACCCGGTAGATCGATCGCTATTTTTTATCCACATAATATTAACAAAACGTAATCTTACATCACCAGCTAGTTCTTAGGTCCTAGCTCTCTCACCTTCTCTATCCGCTTTCCTCACTCTCACTACCTCTGTTTTTCTCTCTCACTCCCCTTTCCACTTCATCTAGTTCACCCTCTCCCACTCTCTTTCTCTTTTTCTCCCTCTCTCTCGCTGTATAATACGGATTACTCAGTGAATGGGATAAAAATAATATTATGATATTTTATACTTCATGAACGTTATGAAAACGACACCCTTTGAAGAAAAAAAACATTCATACATTGTAAATAGATTTTAATTTTTTTAAATTATTGTTTTAGACGTGTCACCGGCAAAAGATCCATGACGAACAAGGAGTTAGGAGACGTAATTTTACGGTGGAAATGAAGAAACTATTATTATTATTATTACTGCTACGGGCGGAAGAAGCTATTTTAGAACGTTCGAATAAACACGACGAACAAATAAGAGTTATTGTGAAACTGTTATTTAAGCACTCGCGGAAGCCCCGTTGCTGCAGTTGTTGTTATATAGTCGTGTATTTATGGAAGTAGAAGATGTTAATCACAAAGGACGAATTAAGTCTAACCGTCGGTTTTAATCATATTGTTAAAAGCGAACAAGCTATGCAAGATAAACTTCTGAAAAATACAATATCGTAATAATATTTATTTCTCGAGGTAGATATAATTATAATATGGTGGATGTACAATAATATCACAATTATTTCAAATAAAAAAAGTAATAAAATATCATCAAGTCTGACGGTTTGTGGAAAACAAATAAGGTCAATTAGTTTTAATTTTTTTGAGTGAAATACAATTTACCAATTAAAAAGAGTAAAAAGAACTGTAACGAAATAATAATACAACGTAAGGTATAAAATTACTCACAGAATATCTGCGGAAATGTAATGTGATCGACTGCTATGAATTGAGCCAATTTGACGAAACAAGTAGGTACTACGTAAGTGTACCATATTAATTTTACCGTCTGTGATATTGTCAAAACTGTAAAATCCCACTTGTGATCGCTTTTAGATCCTATTTGATTGTCGTACTGGTGTGGTGGTGGGGAAAGAGAGAGGGTATTTGGACGAGGCTGTCCTCCCTCCAAGATTGTTTGAAGCAAATTCAGGCTTTTTGAGGTAAATGCGGATGCATGATAATATTAAGTTTATTTTATACATACATACTTATAGTACTTATTAAAAATATATATTACAGTTTTATAAAATACAAAAAGTAAAATTGGAAAGTGACACAGTTTTAAAACCTTATTTAAATATTTGATAACAATATTTATTGTATTTTCAATACAACAATCAATACATGCATAATTTATGTAAAAAATCCTATCCAGATGATAAGTGACTCATTTGGAACATAGTCTAAATATTATATTAAAATGCATCTTTTTTCTTTCTTCGTCCACTTACCTAACACCCAAAAACGACTGGTCTATTTCAAATAAAAGTTTTATTAGTCTATTATTTAAAACACAGGGAGGGTTTGTTTGCAGGTTTGTATTTCGACCCCTATAGTTTGCTATAGAGTGGCTCTCAAGTGCATTTTGTTTCAGGTGACAAAAATTCAATGTGGTTTATTTGTTTAATACAATATGGGGTTGCTGTTAGTTACAGATAATAAAATAGTTATTATGATTAGATATAATTTCCCTAATTGTGGGTATTATGTTTTGCCATTTAGGCCAATAGACCTATTTTGTATAAATGTAAAATTGAATATTAGTTAGGTATATTATATTAGAGTTAAAGTGTATATGGGCTGAAATATATGCTATACAATTATTTAACCAATTTTTCCAAAATTAATTTAGGATAATAATTCAATTGAATTAAAACTGGAATGATGGATGGATAGATTATAATAGACAGTCAGTTGCTACAGACATTAGTCGGGTTATATCACCATAAATGGCGTAGGTGTATGAAAATCTACGATTTTTGACCAATTTGCACCAAATCCAGCATACATATTATTTGGGATGATAAAATTTGAAAATATCGTGAAAATACCTTTTAGAGAACAGCTATCTATGCATATGAAAATATGTGTTTTTCTGACTGTAATTAGTAGACAAAACAATTTCGAAAACCCAAATATCGATATTTAAATTTTTTTTTCCAAATAAAAATAATAATATTAGTATGTCTCTCTTTCAGCATTGTTAAAAATATACTTGCATGTGACGGTTATGTGTATATGGTAAAATATAAACAGGAGTTCAATACTAACGCAATTTGGGCGAATACTTTCCTGATTCGGGCTCTTATGTAAACATTATAATGTGTTAAAGATCTATAGTACCTACATGCAAGGCTGGACATTAATGAGCTAAAAATTAAAGTTAAGTTAAAACTCTAAGTTGAATAAAAACTCATGACTTTTTTTGACACTAATTCTTAACTTAATTAGTTACATTTTCAACACATTTAAATTGTTAACTTCGAGGTCATTGTATACAGATTTATTAAAATTATATTGAATTTGTAATTGTATATTATTATACTAACCAATGGGCAATGACCATTTATGTATAATTTTGTTGATTAACAAAATATTAAATAGGTATCATAGTTCATTGAAATGTTTAAAAATAATATACAGGAATTGTAGGATTATTGGTTTGTGATTAATGATTATTTTCTATTCATGTATTAATGTATTATAGTCGTTTATAGTCATATATGTATTACAATATGTTTATATTATATTGAGAATAGTACCTATGTAGTCATACATGTAGTATATACAGCACAACAACACAAGCTATATGATACTAGGTATTAGTAATTATTATGAATTTACGAATTACGATTACCTATCCTATATCCTTGTTAGAGCTAGAGAAAAACAAAATAATTATGCTGTTATTTCAATCCCCCTCCCCCTGGCCCATAATTTGTCACACTATGAGGGAGCTAATATGAATATAACCTAAACTAAACCTAACAAATGTCAAAGCTTCCAATTAATTGAACTTAACCTTGATTGTTAACCCCCCCCCCTCCTTCAACAAGACCCTCGTGGTCTTAGATGTTATAAATGACAGATATATTATAGTATACAAAAGAATCACTGAAATCATTGAAAGAAAAAATAGTTTTATTACAAAATAGGTACAAATAGGTAAATTCAATATGCTAACATAACAATGTAAAAAAAAATTATTTATTTTCAATGAATATGGATGGAAAAATATCATAATCGATACCAAAATATCGATGTATTATGGATGTGCATCGTTTCCATCCATTAGTCCGAAGGCTGTTCACTGGCTAGTGATATTATAATATTAATCATTACGACGACGATAGTAATAATAATAATGATAATAACAACTTCAACAATTCCTCAGCTCCATCGCGTGTATAGTTCGTCGTGTACCGCCGCCCCGCGGCAAGTGATGCCGGTTTACTCGCTAGCAATACTCTGAAGTTAATAATTGATCATACATCATTACGAGTTTATTTTATATATATGTATGTATCGTATTTTGCAAACATATATATATTATATACATATCGTAATACGTGGTCGGGAGCGCAAGAGTAATACACACGCGGTGGCAAAGTTGTTTCGATGGAAGGCGTTTATGATTGATGAGTCGTCCGCGGCGGAAATAAAGTCGCGAGCGGCTCCCGTCGGCGCGAAATCGCTGCAATTTCCCGGCCGCCGAAGGTTTGAGCTGGAAATTTGTCCGTCCGCGTGAGTTAATTTTTTCCGAGTTTTCTGGTGTCGTAATTAAATAAGCGTATCTGTTTAATACTATCAAACAACCACATTATATTATACCGGATGATCCTCATCACTCAGTTTTTCTTCTCCGATACAATGCAGTTATTCAGAATTCTGATTTTTTTTTCATTTTTAAATATCTATAAAGACCGTATTTTGATATCATATCTCGAAATTCAAACTAGTAGTTTTTGATTTATTTGACTTTGTGTGTCTATTGCAGTTATGAAGTTATTAATTATAGGTACATGCATGCTAGTATAGAATTGAAAGATGATAGATGAAAGGTATAAAGGTAATTTGAACATTTTAGTGTTTGATACTTATCAAGCAACATATTTTATAATTTTTAAAAATAGTCCGAGGTGAATAAATACTAGATCCAATATTACATTTATTTTATATTTTTGAAAAAATATTTTAAGGACAATTTATTATTTACTTAGTATAAACATTTTAATAACTGAGAAACTACTAATCTGATTTTTGCAATAGATTAATCAATTTCTTTTAAATTATTTACAAAACAATTTACAATAAAAAAGCGGAGTTCTGATCAGAAAAACAGAAATTTGCAATACCACAGGGCAAATACAAACCAACACTCAGCGGCGGACTGAACTTAAATTTGAAATGACGCATTTTACTAATTAAGTACTTACCATCACCTCCAACCCCCTATTTTTACTGGTAACAAAGTTATGATGTGAATAAAATGCAAAAAAAGAGCAAAGAGGTCGGACCTTAGCATGTAATTTTGCGCCACAATCACGGGGTGACACCACGCTCTCTGAAAAGTTGACGCGGCTGCGTCAAAGTTGAGCTCTTCAGCCCGCCACTGCCAACACTCCTTAAGTAGTACAATACATTTCGAGAATTTTAAAATAATATGGTCTCTATGTAACTACATTTAAAAATTCCAAAAATCAAAATAAATGCATTATTAAAAAAAAAAAATGGGAGTGAGCATTATGCTTGGTGAATCACTCTACAGTATAATTAACTATGGTGTATCATACGATGTTACATTAAGGTACTACGGGGTAAGTTTTCGGGGGGCGATTAAAATGTAAGTCACATACTATATATTACTGTTAAATTTGGTGGTAAATCAAAAAGTAATACCTACGCATTGATATTTAAATGACGTGTTAACTATTATGTGTTAAGAACGTACAATTAAATACTTATCATTTAAAAAAAAAAATAAATATTTTTTGGGGAGTTGGTTAGTTATATCGAGCTAATGGTGCGTTCCTCGCCTTATTTTCTATTATTTTCGTCAAGCTATTTGCTTCAAAATACAGCTTATGGCTAAAGAGGGGAGAAGGATTTGGGAGGTAATAAAGCGTATACCACCCGTTACGGCGAAGATGTATTATTTAAATTTAAATATGACGGTGCGTGATGAGAATATTTTTAAAACACATCTTAATTTGACGTGTATAGAATTCGGTTGAAATGTTATAATATTTAAGCAAATACTGTAGGTTAGGTTAGGGGATACAAAAGACTTAAAACCATACAATTTATAACTGATGTATATTTAGATTTCAGATGTCGTGGGCTTGCCATTCGTGGTCACTTGTCCATTATCTACGTAAATACAGCCAATCAGTGAACTGCTTCAACTATAATATTGGCCAAAACACGATGTTTATGCGCAAGCGCGATTGTCAAAAATGGAAGCACACAGAGCTTGGACCAACTCCTCTTGCCCGGAGACGAGAGCTGTCCTTGAACTATAATGTAAGGTATTATTTTGTTATCGATTATGAGCATATTAAACTATGGCTGAAAAACCCAGTATGCAGTTTTCTTTCAGCAGCAAAATAGGTGTATCTCAGTTCGAGTGCATCTCAATTTTATTATACCTACCTAACTTCACCGACAAATCGGTGTCAGTGCTTTGTAAAGTAATTCGACCTAGATGTAACCACAAGTGTCGGAATGAATTATTTAGCACTTGCTATATTATAATTTTACGTGGTTAAAACAACTTACTCTCTTAACTTTTCTGATATCCCAAAAACAGTATTTGAGTTTTTCGTCAAAATCAATCGAGTAGTTTTTAGGCCATGTAAAAAGAGACAATTTCATGCTTTCTTGTAACTGATCTGCCCAAGTAGCCAATGGCAACCATTTAAATACAAAAAAAAAAAATTGTCAATTACAATAATTGAGAATCTCAAAATCCTCGCTTGAGGACATCTTTAAAATGCGAGTTTCGGAAAATCCTTTGTTAACTGGTCCTTACATAATAAAAGGAAACTATTAACCAAATTTCATAAGCATAGCTTTGATGGTTCCATTCTGGCAATGATGTATCAGTCAGTCAGGACAAGTTTTTTTATATATTTAATTAATGTATTTAATGCAT